CATCCTCTTTCATTATTTCCTAAATGTAATGGTTTCATGCATCAAGAAGGGCAGATGTTGTTTGAAAAACCCAATATATAAAACCACAAAACTTTAACCTAACAAAACATATAAAACTTTAATAAAAAGACCTCATTTAAAAAAAAAAATACTAAATAATAAAGAAAAGCAGAACCTTAATCATTCCTGTGACATATGGTAAAGGTTTCCTCCCTGAACAAGATCAAACACAATGTTACGTTCTGAGTTGTTGTGTATTACCTAGAGTGTAATTAGAAGCTATTTCATCCTGAAAAGCTGAAGTGAGGACATGCAGGTCACCGGGAGAGTTTTCATCATCTTTTTAAGTCTTACTATGGAAATTCATGGAGTGGATGCAGACCTCCGTCTCTTTACATGCATGCAGCGCTGTGATGGAGAGAACTCGTCTTACAGCCACAGCCGTCTTCTGTCTGGAATAGCCATTAGTGAGTAGTAGCTATTCAGCATTAAAACTCAGGACCAGAAAATCATCAAATTAAATTAATCAAGACCCACCAAGTCTGCAGGTTCAGAGTGAATGACAGCTTACAATTAAGTCACAGGCTTAAAGAAGATTACAAATAAATTAATCAGAGTACCTGCACACAGATTAGTCTAAAATTATTTAGGGACCCAGGTAATCAAATAGGCAAGTCCTTTTATGATGGCTACACATGTTTTTCAAAGTGCTACCAACGCAAAACCAATTAGCTGGGACGGTCGGGGCCCCTTGGGTGAATGCGAGCATCCTCAGAGCAAGATCGCCGAGGCCACATTCATGTACAGCGCCGCAGTGCTGAACACGCTAAAGATTTATTAATGCACCGTCTATAATGACAGAGGACACTGAAATGACGGCCTTCGTGGGACAGAAAGCGGCAAATGTGCATGCTGAGGATGTCGTGATTTATGCCAACAGTGCCCCATACTCATGAATATTAAATACCTCAAATAAATATTATTTCCCCCACGGTCTTAAAGGGAGCAAATTACTTAAATAGGGGCTGATTACGATGATGTCATCTCACATATATAGAACAATGCCTCACTAGCACTTAGGATGATGTAATTCAGGAACGTCTCGTGAAACTGATGCATGGGTTTGAACTCTCATCATTATTGATCAGAAACAAGTCAGGAATTACCAGTATGCTGCACGTGAGCTAATTTAGTAATAGCTGCAACAACATGAAGGTAACAAAAGTAACGGACTTTGCAACCTTAATGAGCCAGTTCAACATGAGAAGGGTTTTTTGAGTCTTGGGCTATGATGTAATCCCCTAATAAAAGACTGAATGGTGACATAATATGCATTTTATATCATATGGATTTGCTTAAATAAAATAAAGCTATAGTAACCCGTAAACCATAAGCCTCCAAAGCTTCTAGGGTGTCCCCCCGCCTTGTGCCTTATGCTGCCTGGGACAGGTTCCAAGCCACCATGGACCCACCCCAGGATAAGCGGATGGAAGATGGATGGATGGATAGATGAAAGCTTTTTCCGACACGTACAGCCTGTTCACACTTACCTTTTCATAAAAGCTGTAAAAACAACAGCAATTCATTGCAGAGAAAAATTATCCTTTACCTTTCAGAATAAAATTACAATAGAGATCTGGAAGAAAAAATCAAGGTGAATATATTATTATGAGACAATGGTATGGTGTTCAATGTCTTTTGACTCTTATGTGAACTAAATCCTGAAGATTGTAGAGTGATATACATGCATTTTAGCCAAAGGTTGGGAGAGGTCCTGACAGGATGAGAGTAACCATGAACAAAAAAGACATGAATGGGATTCACTCGGCGCTTCCTGAAAAGGCCATGTGCTCAGGGGGTTAGGGGGCCGGCCCGCATGTTCAGGGAGTTTGGGGGCGGGCCCGTGTGTTCAGGGGGTTTGGGGGCCGGCCTGCATGTTCTTGCCGCCTGGACGTTCCGGGGGTTTGGGGGTAAGCCTGCGTGTTCTTGCCGCCTGGACGTTCCGGGGGTTTGGGGGTAAGCCTGCGTGTTCTTGCCGCCTGGACGTTCCGGGGGTTTGGGGGGCCCGCATGTCCTATCCGCCTTTTCACTCGCACTCCACTTTCTCTCAGTCCTTCAGAGTAACACTGAACCCCACCAGCTTTTGTTTAGGCACTTGTTTCTCAACTGATAGGTCATGACTCAAATGTGGGTCACGGGACCATTTTCAGCGGCTCGTAGAGTGTGTGGGTAAACTTTTCTCTAATATCAGTATTTTTTGCTCAACAAATTTCACCGCTGCAACCTCCCCTCCCAGTCAGCATATTTTACAGCCAACCTCCTCGGTTGGCAAGTTTTATGGATTTTACATATATAGTGTTTTTCTCTCTCATTTTTTGTCTTATGTTCTATTTATTGTTAGCATGCTGTTAATTTGTGAAATAAATGATTAGAAAATTTAAACATTTGGGTTGTGGCTTAATGACCAAGGAATAATGAGGTCAAGACGGCACCAGGCAGCAGAAAACATCTTAACACCGGGTAAAACTGCACAGAAAGAAGCAGCTGCCTTAAGGATGTCAACGTGCCAAAGTCGCTCACTCCTCCTCATGTGTGTAGATCTGCAGTCCACTGAAGGATTACATTTAAATCATATGACACACCAGTGGAAGAATCGTGCAGTACTGCACCTTTCAGAAACACAAATGACATCAACATATACTACTTTTAAACTAAAACATCATTCAATCCATACATCCATCCATCGCCATGGTTGTATTTTAATAAGGAATCCAATGAAGCAAACCTAAGATACTGTGACAGGGCAGGTACATACGGCCCTCCACATGCATAGAAATCACGAATGTTGTTTCACAGAGGTGTGTTCATAGGTGCTTTAGCTTTCTGCACAGATTTGTGGATGTTAGAGCGAGTATAACAACATATAACAGACAGAAAAGAAGCCCAATGAAGGATCAGGTCAGAAATTCACAGATAAGAATATTAATATTATAATCCCTGTCAGCTCCCCAATGAAGGAACAGGTCCGAAACTTACAGATAAGAATAATAGTATTATAATCCCTGTCAAAACCACCAAGCATTTACACTTCATCTCATAAATCTACTGCCCAGATAGGACATTTAGGTCATCTGTGTGCACCATCCATTCTGCAGAAAAATAAGGGGACAGCCAAAGCCATACCCAATTAATTTTTGAAACACAAAGTCTACATTAGATGAGCAGATTAATAATTCTATCCATGCCCTGTTTAGAAACTGTTCATCCATCTGCCCGACTGTTTAAATTTGAAGGGAGATGATGAAATAAACCCAGACACTGCTTGGGCTGCCAACGATATACCAACAAAAACAGTGATGTCTGGGTTAGGATGATGTTCCTGTGATCAGAAGGTTGTTGGTTCAAATCATAGGGTTAGCAGAGCGATTTCACTGCCCTTGAGCAAGACCCTTAAACCGCAACTGCTCCAGGGACTGGCTGACCCTGCTCTCTCAACTGCATGTTGCTTTGGCTAAAAGTGTCGGCTAAATAAATAAAAAATGTTAAATACCCGCATTGCACCAGTGTTATTACAGGTGTTTCACAGTGCAGTGTGCAGAGCATCGATCGCCTGTGTGCTTAAGCGAAAAACAAGCGTATTCAGTCGATAATTATCGGCCGGGCCTCTGGCGCTGGCTCTAATGGAGGCTGGCATTCGGCTCCTCGGAGTGAGCATTCCGTTTTGTAAAGTGTCGCGTGCAATTTTATCACGCGGACAAAAAACCAGGAGTGGCATTTCTCGGGGGCTCCACAAAATCCCAGCAATGCCCCCCAAACCATGTTCCTCTCAGGGTGGCTGGCCAGGGCTACAGGAGGGGAGGGACTCACTGATAAACCCTGAAAACAGGGACTGGGTCCCTGGTTGGGCCCTTAATATACAGAGGTGCAGAACGTGGGACGACCCATCATGAACCTAAACACATTCACCATTTTACTATCTTGATGTGTCTCAAGACAAAAGTCGTTAGTTTTTCCAATCATCTATCTTCCAGATGCTTGTACATGGGTAAAAAATCATGGGGGGGGGGGGGAACTATCCTAGGATGCACAGGGCACAAGACAGGGGGACACCCTGGACAGGATTTACACACGTGCACACATGTGGGATTGGAACCCTCAATCCTGAAAGTGCAAAGCAACAGCACCAGCCACTGATCCCCTATACTGCCCTAATTGGGTTCCTATCAAAGATATTCGGAGTCCCAAAACTTTGGCCAGGGCACCGCGTGTAACTTATATCCAGTCACAGGTCCGGACGAGGTGGCACGGCAGCAGCGGAGCTGAGGAGTCGGTACCACAGTTCCTTTTCAGTGCACGGTACAGAAAACCATGCATTCACACGTGTGTGACCACGTCTGCCCCCCGTAATGGTGCTAAATTATGCATCCGTGAGGCAGAGCGTGAAATAAAACTGCCAAGCGAGGGAAACGCTGTCCAGCTGCGGTGTAAATCTGAGCTTAATGTCTCGTGCCTCATTCCTCATTCAGCACAGATAACGACTTCAGGTCTCGCAGAAATGACTCCAGCGCATTTCAGGATTTTTCTTTTCCCCCTGCAAAGCTGAGTGGAAACAATCAGTTCTGATAAGAAATTTCCCCTATGAAGTCACTAATTGCCACAAGCAAATCTGGCCAGATTGGCTCATTTAAAGTAAAGATAACGGTGATGATAGTGTTATTTAAAAATAGAGAAAGAGCCTTGGATATTTTTGGCTGGCAAAAAGGGTGACAGATTACCAGTCGACTGCAGAATCCTCGCTGTACCTGCTTCCACATTATTCTATGTGCTCCTTTCACATTTATTAAAAATACCACTAATGAATTCAGAGGTTTAATGAAACACATGCACATACACGCTAAAAGCCTGTGAGAAATTCACTAGGGCTTGTATTCATGTTACCCTGTCCACTGGCAGAGTTTGTACCATTTTACTTTTATCAATCATTCAGAAAAAAAGTGACACAAAAGTAAACTGAGTTTTTATTCATCTGACAGCTGCTTTTATTCAGGACGGTTAAAGGTTATTAGAAATAAAACCATCTGACAAGGAAAATAAGGGCAACGTGTCAAAACAGAAGTACCGGATTCTAAATTTAGATTATTGGAGAATAATTTAATTCTTAAGCATGATGTTCAAACACAAACCCGCAAGGGTCACGGACACAGTGCTGCAATCTCCCTCTCCCTCACTGGCTGTCACAATAGTTTGATGGAAAGCCACAGAGACACCTTGAATCTCGCCAAAACATCCCGTCTGAACATTGCCGTGATACACGGCTGTGGAATGAAGATGTGTTTCCTTGCAGAACATAAACACGGAGGAATACTGGAACCATGCACGGTCAACAAAGCACCACAGCTAGAAGAAAATACAGAAGCAGCACGAGTTCTCCAGTAGCCATAATTCTAACCTTCATTACTGACATCTCTGATGCAGCTCTGTTATTTACACAACGTTAAACGATCCTTTGGGCTTCTTTTAGCTAAATACACGTCAAAATGATTAAAGGAGCCATGTAAGAGTTTGAGGAAGAGGGATGTCCAGACTCCCGTTGAGGTCTGGTGGGTAAATGCACTTATGTTCAGCCCCCGATGCGTCGTGTCAGACCGCTACACTTCACACGGCTGAAAGCGGACCACCGCTGAGTCGTTATGAAATGATGGACGGGGCAGAAACGGCCCCGTACCTCCCAAGAAGCGAAAATGGAGAGATGCCTGTTTCTACGACAACAGCTATCGAGGCCTTCAGAGCCCAGAAACGATGGCGGGACGGGAGGGAATCCGCACACAGTGCTGTATCCCGCGCTCACGGCGCTGGGAAGAGCCAAGGTGGAAGGCAGCGCGCATGTGTTAGTCAGTATCCCAAAGCGCTAACGAGCAGACACTAACGAACCTGCGAGATCCCGTACTTTATAGCTTGAAATATTCATTCCTGTTTCGCAGTTCTCCTCTCCTCATCCTTCCATTCCGTGTCTCACTTATCCAGCACAGGATCGCCATGCAAATGTATCGAGCTCCCAGGGGAAAAGCACAAGTGGAACTTCCTCAACAAAGGCGCCCAGCTGTTCAGATAAATCTGCTCCAAATGACATTTTATTGACAAGTGACTTCAAAATGCCCCAGATTCTTATTTTGAACTCAGCCGGTTCCATTGTGCAGTAGTATGTCAATGTCATATTTGAGATTCTGATACGAGCAGGTATACTTTATTTTATATTTTACATATTTAACTTGAGTAGCAAAGCATTTCGCGTATTTTTCTTACTACTAATGGGACAGGGCTAAACTGAGTCCTGGTTACTTTCAACCAGGAAACCGTTTCAGGCGACTTGGTCAGGCTCCAAGTCGATTGGTTTTCCCTTGGAAACAAAGCAGATATCTGCGAAGACTGAGTGGGTCGAGCCATTGGCAGAGTGGACGTTTAGAGGTGATGTGAAGAGCAGAGTGGTGACATTGATGGATGCCATTGCAAGAGGCGATGGTACAGATTATTCTGGCTGCAGAGTACAGAGAGTAAAAGGCTACCCTACCATTTTAGAAGTTTAGTGAGGCCATAAAAGCTGTAATGGACTCCATCACCAGGTCACCGCCAAGCCAAGAGAGGCTACGCTACGCTAAGTCGCTAATTAATGCTAACATTTACTTACAGGTAATCAGCTGAATAGTAATTATGTCTCACCAATATCTGAAGTAATACATTTCATCCCCGCAGCTAAATTTGTCACAGGACATGTAGCAGCATCTCATGTAAAGCAAGGTTAATGTTGCTGATTGGGAGGAGCGTCGAGGCTGTGAGGCAGACCGCATACATGACACATGGCAGCGCATCAGAACGCATGGGGTTGTGCATCTGTAGCGACGCAGCTGGCATGCCCTGCAGTCAATCTCGCATGTGGCCCGTTGCATGTGGCCTGGACACTGGGCCGACTCGCAGCACCCCTGCAGGGGTCGTTTTTCCCCGAGGACAAGTGGGGGGTGTACTTAACAGAAGGAAAGTCTTCTGCACGCCACGGGACCATCGGTCTGATCCTAAATAGGTAACAGTGCCACCTCTGGAGTTCTGTATGGAAAATTCCAGAAGAAAACAAACTGTCCACTCAGATTTAGTCACTGCTCAGGAGGGTGCGGATACAGACCCAAACAAGTCGATATTTCCATATAGTCCTGGACTAAGAGAATAATGTTGTATTGAGGATGAGAATGGGTGTCTGTATTTTAATACATTTTTAGACAACTGTATCAGACTACATCCTGTGACCCCATACTGGGTAAGGGGGTGGCAGAGTGATGGGTTGGGAGGTATTAACCGCAGACCCTGTAAGCTTTCAGTGTGCGCTCTCTGTACACGAGCACAGCGTCTGGATGGCGATGTTTCTGCCGTATCCTATTCAGTCTTTCTGTCGAGGAGAAGGTCCACTCTTACGGCAGCCTCCAACCTGTCACTCACGTCCAGCGGGGCCACCTGCCAGGCATAGGGGATTCCCATGACAGGAAAAAAAGCACTAAATTAACAGTCGTTTACAAAACTGAATGATGACAAATACGTTTTGCTAAACATGCCCTTCTAAATTCTCCATATGCATACTTCTACGGAGCCCCTAAAGGGACATAAGTGATTAAAAAAAGATTTTACAGTATCTGGTGTGCACCAGATACTGTAAACTTTTTTTTTTAATCACCTATGTCCCTTTAGCCTCTCCTGGAGCCGACACCTTATCGTGGTGGGGGGGTTTGCGTGTTCCAGTGATCCCAGGAGCTAAGTTGCCCGGGGCTTTATGCCCCTGGTAGGGTCAACCAAGGCAAACATGTCCTCGGTGAGGAACCAGAAGAAGTGCGGCTCACAAGACCCCTTATGATGGAAAAAAATAGTGGAATCACGGTTTCCCTTGCCCGGATGCGGGTCACCGGGGCCCCCCCTGGAGCCAGGCCTGGGGGTGGGGCTCGATGGCGAGCGCCTGGTGGCCAGGCCTGCACCCATGGGGCCTGGTCGGGCACAGCCTGAACAAGGCACGTGGATCCCCCCTCCAAAGGGCTCACCACCTGTAGGAGGGGCCATAGGGGTCGGGTGCAGTGTGAGTTGGGCGGTGGCCGAAGGCGGGGACCTTGGCGGTCCGATCCTCGGCTGCAGAAGCTAGCTCTAGGGACATGGAATGTCACATCTCTGGTGGGGAAGGAGCCTGAGCTGGTGTGCGAGGCTGTGAGGTTCCGACTAGATATAGTCGGGCTCACCTCAACGCACGGCTTGGGCTCTGGAACCAGTCTCCTCGAAGGGGGCTGGACCCTCTTCCACTATGGAGTTGCTCATGGGGAGAGGCGCCGAACTGGGGTGGGCATACTTATTGCCCCCTGGCTGGGCGTCTGTACATTGGGGTTTACCGCGGTGGACTTTTCACAGGGTGGCTGGGCTCTCCCTTGGAGATAGGGTGAGGAGCTCGGTCATTCGGGAGGGACTCAGAGTAGAGCCGCTGCTCCTCCGCATTGAGAGGAGCCAGATGAGGTGGCTCAGGCATCTGCTTAGGATGCCTCCTGGACGCCTCCCTGGTGAGGTGTTCCGGGCATGTCCCACTGGGAGGAGACCCCGGGAAAGACCCAGGACACGCTGGAGGGACTATGTCTCTCGGCTGGCTTGGGAACGCCTCGGGATTCCCCCAGAGGAGCTGGAGGAAGTGGCTGGGGAGAGGGAAGTCTGGGTTTCCCTGCTGAGACTGCTGCCCCCGCGACCCGACTTCGGATAAACGGAAGTTAATGGATGGATGGATGGATGTCCCTTTAGGGGCTCCGTATCCTTCAGATAATGCCACAATATTTCATGATATGAAATGATGCTTTATTTGCTGTTTTGTATAAGCACAGGCACATTGGAATAGTTCGTTTCGCATATCTAATCTTGCTCTCCTATTAGACATACACACACACACAAACACAAGCAGGGACCTCAGAATGACCCTCTCCCCTCCTGTGATAATCTGCCCACTCCACTTATAACCGAGTGCTAAGAGTAAGCAGCTGGTCACAGCCAATGTTTACATGTTTGGGGAAACCCCCGTATCTGTGAGGTCACCAAGGGATTCCACCAGGTGAAGGCCCGCACATCAGAGAGGACCTTTCCGGAGATTTAATCCAGTTTTAACTGGCACCACTTTGCCAAAGGGATGATTTATGCCATTTGTGCTGAATATTGACCAGCAAGCGCCTGGTGTAGTGTGCTGAATGATTGAGAGGGTTGAGACAAGGCCCCCGATACACTGTATGTGTCTGTTATGCAGCTGTTTTTAATGTTACAGTCAGTCTGGGGCCACCATGAAACACACTGGTAGCAACTTCATCTCCTCGCATGACTAACCACTTCCAGAGGCCTGTTTCATATCTCGTGGAGGTAGCACATCTTTAAAGCCTGATTTCAGGCTGTGCAAAAAAGGTGGGAAAAGCACCGGCACGGTCCAGACACACTGTTCCCACCTGTAAGCCCCAGTTACTGTGGGATTAACCCACTAAGGATCAGTGCTTGTGGCACCCGGTGGCCCGCAGGTTAACACAAGGGTGGACCGAAGCCAGGGGGTGCCGGTTATCCCCGGAGATGAAAGCTGGTGTTGTCAATCGTGTGTTTGCCGAGTGGGAATGCCCATGGAGGGCCGGCCCGGCGGCAGATCGGCGCTCGGAAACGCGCTGGAAGGAATCGGATCAAACGCGGAGCAGTGGATTACACGGCGCTAAACTTGTTCCCCGAGAAAAGAGAATGGCTTGTGGCAGGCTTTGCACCATGGATGTTTGAAGATCAAAAGTGGGCTTGTTGTGGAGAAAAACTTGAAAAAGACGCCTTTCTTCACGGGTGAGGAGCAAGGCGGCGCCCGTAGCCCCCGGGAGCCTTTAACCCGGAGCTGCACGACATTAGCTAGCCGAGGAACATCTGCAGAGCGCCTCATTAGGCCGAGCCGGGCCGTGGTCCCAGCACAGCTCCCCTCAGACCTTCGGCCGGTGTCACGCGGCTGCTGGGGGGAGCCCTGCCTCCGCTACCCGGCAACGGGGCTGTCGGGCAGGAATGCGGCTCCCCACAGCCGGACGGGAGGGAGCGGAGAGTAAAGGAACCTGTCATAAGAGGAGAAGGCCGTGTTCCCTCTTTGATCAGAGACCTCAGAGACGTCACCGCAGGGGGGTCACCAGCTCCCCCCCCCCCCTAGACAAAAGGCAGCTTTGAAACGGGCCTGTAACAGCTAGCCTTTCCTGACAGGAGCAGGAACGGGGCGCCGTTAAGCTATTCAGCTTTCGGCATTTCAGGCAGTCATTCTTTAATAACTCGGATGGCTGTCTACTCCGAATCTGGATGCCACACCTTTATTTATATATCTACGTTGGTTATTTGCACACCTTTATTCATATATCTACGTTTATTATTTGCACACCTTTATTTATACATCTACCACTATTTTACTTCTATTTATTACTTTTTGTACTTTTGTCTTGATTGTTTGTTTAGTGCCACCACCTGCACTGAAACAGATTCCTTGTATTTTTTTGTATTCAGATTCTGATATTATTACTCAGTGATACCACAGCCCCTCTTTCCTCTTCCAGATGAAGACACACACATTGGTAAGTAAAGAGTGTGTTGGGGGGGGAGTAAGAGGGACCAGCAGAAATGGGTTTGCCAGCAACAGAAGATGGATGCAGCAGGAGGACAGGGGACTGACAAAGCAGTTTTACTGGGAAGTCCATCCCAGAGTCACGCACTGAGAACCATCTTCTCAGACTTCAGCATCTTTAGTGTCAGTGAGTTGGGACTTTTTTTTCTCCATACCGAGCCAAGAATTAACTTCACGATTTCAACTGGAGGCCCTAGGTTTAAAAGTACATTGATGAGTTGGTGCATGTTATGTTGATCAGCAAGCCAGAGAATCAGTAAAAATATCTTAAGTTTGAGGAGGAAAAATTACACTTAAGGTAAAGTGAAATGAAGCCTTAAATGATCAAATGGAAAACCGTTGCTCTTGTAGCACTGACAACCCACATGAAACACCCAGGAAGTTACCAGAAGCCAGGATGACGCCTCTCTCCTCAGCACGACAGGAATTCAGACACTGCAGCTGTTGTTTTACAAAGAATTATTTTGTGGCCTCCCCCAAAACATAGGAGCACATATGAAATATTAATGTTGCTGATATTTTTCTGAGTTTCCTTCAAGTTTATGTAAAGTCAGAGAGACAGAATGAAGTCTCCATGAAAATATGCACTCTTAATGCGCATTTTTATAGTCATACTGCATTTTCCCCATATTTGTAATGTGTGCCCGTACACATTCTCAAACAGCATCTGCTACATATTCAGCATATGTTTCCACTTGTAAAGGATGGTTCTGAGCCTTTCATGAAACATGCACGAGATATTTCACTGAAAGCAGTAAATCGTTTAATTGCATCCAGCCCGGTCCTCAGATCCTGATGGATCCACAGCTCCAGTGCCTCACGTTTGCTGGGCCCTGTGGCTTTAAATAATTATATGAAATTACACCGTATTCCTTCTAATCAAGGTGCACCAAAATGTCGCAGCCATCTGCCCCCTGTCTTCACTCAATGTTTCTCTGATGGATAGCTTGCATTTATGGTTCATAATTTCCTCATCCCCATCATAGTCATGCCCCTTTCTGCTTCCCCAGTTTCCCCATGGTTACCCTGCACTGCTGGGAGTTTCACCATGACCTACCCCTAACATTAACCCTGAGCACTCTCCCCTCTAGCACACCTCCACTGGTCTGAAGCCAGAGTATCACTCCCTAATACCAGAGTTATGGGGGCTTGTGGTTAAACAATCAGTAACAGAACCAAAACAGTGGATCATGACAGAAAGTAGGAATGTGTATCTTTACCTGCTGTGTGCTGATGTCACTCATCAGTGCACAGCTGCAGTCCTCCTAAAGAATACAGATATGAGCCTGAGGTATAAGAGATGCGATCCCACAACAGGGTGTTGGTGAGTCATGGGACCCCCCCTGCACCCCCCCTTGATGGGATGAGGTACTGAGCAGAGTTTGTCTGAGAGGGGTTTTGTCGGCTGGTCAGACATGGGGATAATGCGGCGACAACCTGGGGACAGTGGAGGGACAAACATGGGAAGAGTGGAGGGACAAACATGGGGACAGTGCAGGGACAACATGGGGACAAACATGGGGACAGTGCAGAGACAACATGGGGACAGTGCAGAGACAACATGGGGACAAACATGGGGACAGAGCAGGGACAACATGGGGACAAACATGGGGACAGCGCAGGGACAGCGCAGAGACAACATGGGGACAGCGCAGAGACAACATGGGGACAGCGCAGGGACAACATGGGGACAAACATGGGGACAGCGCAGGGACAGCGCAGAGACAACATGGGGACAGCGCAGG